GTAAAATGAGTAAAAGCTGTAATGCGGAAACACAGATAGCACCCAGACTGTGATAGTTACCTGTCAATCAAAAGTTAGCCACGCCCTAAAATGTACAATGTTTTATCTTCCATTTTACTCTAAATTGGACCATAAATAGACACATTTACATCAGGCTCTTATTAAAAGTACCAATAACAGTTGAGACCATAAACTCTTCCGGAAAATGCTGGATATACACACACGAAAATCTTCGTAGACTTCCATACAATTGGGCTTCTTCTTTCAACCAATAGGATTGGATATAATGCATGTTTAAAACACTTGCACATTGGCGTCACCTATTTGACCCAGAGATTGTCTCTTAACTAAACACAAAGGTAGGCTGAGGAGGATGGAAATTAGGTTTGATCAAAAACAAAAGTCCTCTAATATTTGTATGTTGACTAGATAACAATGCTAGATGAAAATGACACAATTCAACCTAAATGTGTGTTTTTTGGGAATCCATCCAGCAGGTCAGCCAAGTCATTAGGATTCCATGTATATCGAATTGCGTAGCAGTCCTTTTAATTGTCGTTAAGTCAAAAATAATAACCAATAATGTCAACCTGCCGATGCTTCTACAAGAGATGTCAGTTAGCTTAAACCTCTAGGGAACCATAACTGCTTGTATAAAATCCCAATTATTTTCTACTCAGTAGTTGTCACCACACTGCTAGTATAACTGAAAGTCTTCAAACTACGTGATTCTTTTGAACAAATAATTTCCTACAATGAGCTGTGTTTAAGATTCATTATAATATACATACTATAGGTTAATGTCACTATCTGAGTTAGCAGGAGCCTTACATAATTTTCTTTGATAAAATAAGGTGACGAATAATCAATTGTTTGTATTCTTACTGTGTGTTATTCCAATGTTCCCTTTGCTGCAGAAGTGTTTTTGTGTGTACTGACCTAGATGAAACCTGCCAAAGAGACAAGGCATTGAGAGGCTTCTTCATGGAAGTAGGTTGCAATGTCTCTTAGGGTGAAACACTCAGCTACAACTCTACAGGGAGCTCGCTATATTTATGATGGTGCAGAGAAGCACCATAATTGTGCTGTGCCTATTCTGCCAGATGCATATTCAGAACAAAAGCACCACATTGGTTCTCTGTTAACTTGTCAAAGCGACACACTTTCTCTTCATGTCCTACCAAGCTGCTGTAGCGACAGAAAACAGAGGGGCTGGAGTTTATGTGATGCCATACATTTGCTTTAAGTGTCACCCCTCACACACCATGCCAATAGCTGATTTGTTATTTCAGGGACCACCTGTGAGGAACCTTTTACTCTTAGCACTGTTGTGACCTTGGGTGTCCTCAAGCGGTAGAAATAGACAGAAAAAAGTGTTTAGATAAGTTGGACTCTAATTCAAACAAAGAGCTGATCTTAGGTCTGAAAGTGTGTTTTGAAAGGGAAATGTTTTGCAAAACAAAATACCCTGAAAAAACGTTGACTTTAATTAAATGTATTATGTCAACAGATTTCAGATAACTGTAATAAGTTAGTTGAAAGCAATAATATTAAGTTGAACCTATCATTGCTTTCAACTAACCTAATACTGTTATCTGATTTGATTAATTTGATTAAAGTCAGTTTCAGTTTTTTCAGTGTAGCTGTGTCACAGAGGCTTTAAAAAGAAGATTTTATATAATAATAATAATCCACTTCACACCCTCAGCGACTCTGAAAACAGCCTGTGAAAGCAAAATAAATGATCGGCAAACATGGCACAGCTGTGGTCATTTGGTTTTCGGATGAGAGAACAATGAGTTTTGCACGTGAACTCGGAGTGGCCGCCAGGTGGGTGAAGCCCTCTCCCAGGGCTGTTTGCACACCTAATGACAGCTTGTTTTCACTGACCTGTGTGGACAACATGGGGAGAAGGGGGGAAGGGGATGAGAGAAAAGGGAAAATAGCAACGATGAAAAGCTCAAACTAAATGTTAAGCAGAAGGACAAAAAAGAGAAAGCAAATGATATAAAAAGATGTTAACAAATTTGAGGGGAAAAGTACTGGGGTGAGGGGGGGCTCAGTATCTAGTAGAGCTCGTTCACCCGCAGAGCCAGCCGAAGCGCTCTCTGATTGGTGCTGCGCGCTGCAGCTCTCTCCCCTCCCCCCTGAAGAAAGAGGTGCAGTGGGAACGTCAGACCCAGACAGCGCAGGACTCAGCCACTGAAGACACTCATCTCTGAAGCTCTGCATGAGACCTTTCTACAGAGTGTTTAGGCACAGACTACATGCCAACCTGCTCTCCTACAGCATAGAGGCTTCTGCTACTGCACTCAGGAATTTATGAAACACATTGCACTGATTTAAAAGAAAACCATAGCTAAAGAATAGTGCCTTGAATTCAGTGCATTGAGAAGCACTCCGGCCGGTCACCATGGGCAGGCAGGGACACGAGAGCACCGCCGCGGCGCCCGGGATGCGCATCACACGCTCCCAGAGCAAGATGAGCCTGTCTGCATCATTCGAAGCGCTGGCAGTCTATTTTCCCTGCATGAACTCCTTCGATGAGGAGGACGGAGGTAAGACCAGATCTGGGGATAATATCCGAGCACCATCTGCTGCAGGCTGGGGGGGGGGGGGGGGCAGTGCTGTGTAAACTGAGAGAGAGGAGATGGATTTAGATGCAATCTGGGCCAGATGCAATTAGCTTTGATGAAAGTGAAGTTCAATAAGGGTATAATGTAATGCTTGTTTGTGCGAAAATATGAGTTCAAAGTTGGTTTATATGCCTGCATCTCTTGTGAAACACACAGACTGCTACAGGAACCAGCATGATTTAATATTCTACTCATGCGAGTCAATATCTTATTCCCCCGTGATATCAAGTCTAGCTATGAATGAAAATGAAATGAATCACTGCTTAGTGCCATGTGGGTGGTGGTGTTTATTTAGCTTAAGAACACAACATTACTCCATGAGTGTTTCTTCACATTTCCTGAGAAGTACTGATGACGCCTGTCAGTGTTTATATTTATGCCTCCCCAGATGCTCTTCTCATGTCCTATTCTAGTTGATTTATTTACAGGGTCCTGTTAGTCATGTATTAATGATGTACTCTTTTTATTATACCTTCCGTTATGCTCATATCTTTGCCTGATGACACCAGCTGTTTTTAGCCACAGCTTTACACTCACTTGTCCTCACACCTCCACTGTTTGGCTACGAGCTGCTCCACCACTCATTGTCTTTTCCTTTCTTGGCATGGCCAGGATTTGAGGGTCGTGACCATTGGTGACGGGCCAGTTTGTCTGACTTTAAGGCCACTGCTGCTCCGTGTTGCCAGATACTTAACAACATTGTTCGGCTGCCCAGTATTTTCAAACAGTGGTGATAATGCTCCAGTCTGTAACACATTTACCTCATCTGCCATTGCTAAAAATTAACTTTTGTGTATTTCGTTATAATGTTATAAATGTTCCAATTTGTAGAGAGAAACATTTAATAGTTATTATTTCAAAAGATCAACCCTTTATTGATAGTATAGTAAATACAGTAAGGACTGCTTAGCCGTACCATACAATGGGAGTAAAAAAACTGGAAATGTTGTGATTTTAGTGTTCGTTAATCACAGGCCACTGATTGGTCGAGCTCTTTATGCTCAGGTTGGCCACAGACGTCAGAGACAACCTCTACGGCCTTGTCTCCTATTGTAAGGTGTGAAGAGCAGTAAGAGCAGGAAGAGGAGGCGGAGGCCGGCTCAATAACCCCGATCTCAAGCCTGAAAGGCTTCATGTCTGTTCATGCCTGTGCGAGATAAGACTACTCCTCTGACAAAACAAGGAGGAGAGGAGGAAGAGGGAAGACAGGTGTATTCATGCTTCGTTGTTGATTCATACGCCTTACACACTGGGAAATGATGTTCATTCAAATGTGGCATAAGGTGATAGCCCATTGTTTGTCACAGCGCACCTGGGGGTTGCCATCAGTGAAGTGACACTACTGTAACTATTACTTTATATCTGACCTCTGGGAAATAACAGGATGAACTCATTTTGTATTGGTTTGATTGCAGATATGAGATCTATAATTGGTGCATTAACATTTCATAATACTTTGATTATTAGTCTTTGACCATAGCCGTGCACAATTTCATTTTATATGTATTTGTTGTGCAGACATGCCAGCTTAACAGAGCTTAAAATGCAAACTCTTTTGTCTCTTGTCTCTTGACTCACAGTGAAGAAACGTGTCTTTCTCCTAATGAAATATCAAATTAAACATAATAGTGAAGTGTGTGTGTGTGTGTGTGTGTGTGTGTGTGTGTGTGTGTGTGTGTGTGTGTGTGTGTGTGTGTGTGTGTGTGTGTGTGTGTGTGTGTGTGTGTGTGTGTGTGTGTGTGTGTGTGTGTGTGTGCGTGCGTGCGTGCGTGCGTGCGTGCGTGCGTGCGTGCGTGCGTGCGTGCGTGCGTGCGTGCGTGCGTGCGTGCGTGCTGGCAGCCAAGCATGTTTTAAGTGGTGCAGCATGTGTGTAGTTGTGTGTATGTGTGTGTAGGTATGTGTAGGTGTGTGTACGTCCAGCACAGGAACAGGGAGGCAGTGTGTAGAGGAGCCGCAGCAGGGCTAATGTTCCGAGTCAGCTGTCATCTTGGATCAGTTAGGATGGGGGGGAAGCATGGGCTACGGCTCCCACAAGACCACCGCAGGCATCCGTAGCACAGACCAGAGGGGGGTATCTGTAGAGAGGATGAATTAGTGACCTTGTTTGAGTGAAATGACCATGATCCTTCCCAGAATAAGCTACACTAAAGGTATAGAGATCTATTTCCATTCAAAGAGTCTTTGTTTTGTTTCCCTCTGGAATGAATGTTCTACGAGCAGCTGAATGCGGGACAGTTATAATCCGTGTGTGCAACTCGCTGTATGAGTCACAAAATGATGCAGTGTCATGCATTAACACTCTCCTTGGCTCTTCCTCTCCCTCCCTCCTCTCTTCCCCCACGTGTGGCCTTCATTGTGCAGAAGCAGGGGGTAAGAAGCTGCGCAGCACCATCCAGAGGAGCACGGAGACGGGCCTGGCGGTGGAGATGAGGAGCAGGATGACTCGGCAGGCCAGCCGGGAGTCCACAGACGGCAGCATGAACAGCTACAGCTCCGAGGGAAAGTAAGGACACGCTTATTCTGAGGTCGCTCGGAAAGCTCCTTCTTATTTCACTGAGAGCATTAGTACATACGCAGCAAACAATTCCAAACTCTTCCTTACAGCCGTTACCCCCCGACAGATTCGTCTTATCTTAATGAAACTGTCTCTTTAATCTCCATGTTTGTGTCTTCTCTGTTTCAGTCTCATCTTCCCCGGTGTGAGGCTCTCCTCAGAAGCCCAGTTCAGCGACTTCCTGGATGGCCTCGGCCCCGCTCAGCTGGTTGGACGACAGACGTTGGCTACTCCCCCCATGGGTGAGAACAGCAACCTTTTTAGTCATTAATTGTATACAGTACCTTGGTTATTCACAGAATACCTCTTTGCACTAAGAAGTGAACACGTTGATGAGGGAAAGTTAATAGTCTTGTTAGTCATTCATTATTATTATTTGATTATGTATTTATGTTTTCCTTAGTGACAATGCACATTATCAACATCACTGTAAAAGTGCCATTGCTAGCCAAAAGGCTAAGTTTCAACTGTTGTCCCACGGCCTGATGTTACAATTGGCCATTCAAAGAATATTGAATGAAAACAGAACAGGAAAAAGCCAAACATGAACAGTTGAACAGGATCAGAACTCATGCAGTAAGACAATTAACATGCAGCTGACTAATAAAAAACATTGGGTACAAACAGTTAAATATGACGACATGAAATTGCATTACAGAACACAAAGCAAAGCAGACAATCAGAGTGCATGCATATCTCATTTAAAATACCTATACCATACTAACTTATATATGCTGTCTGTATATGGTGTGAAATATGAGGTTATTATAGTGCTTGAAGTAAAAAATCTGTCAACGCTGTTATCCAGGTGACATCCAGATTGGTATGGTGGACAAGAAGGGAGCACTGGAGGTGGAGGTCATCAGAGCCCGTGGCCTTGTGGGAAAACCAGGTTCCAAGTCACTGCCAGGTAACTTAAGCTCTCACTCTGTCATATCACACTAATATCCTACATTCAACTTAAAAGACCTACAATCATGTTTCTTTTGGGCTTTGGGGTAAGAATAAGAGATGATGCATATTGTAACATATTCCCCCTCTCCTCTCTTCCCAGCACCATATGTAAAGGTCTACCTTTTGGAAAACGGAGTCTGCATAGCCAAAAAGAAAACAAAAGTAGCAAGAAAAACCTTGGATCCTCTTTACCAGCAGCAACTGCCGTTTGAGGAGAGTCCAGTAGGAAAGGTTTTACAGGTGAGGAAACGGAAACTAAACAATATCATTCCTCACTGTTCCACTGCGAACGTCCTTCTGATTAATTATTTCCTCTTTCTTTGCAGATCATTGTTTGGGGCGACTATGGACGCATGGACCATAAATCCTTCATGGGAGCAGTTCAGATACTGTTAGATGAGCTGGACCTGTCCAACATGGTGATTGGCTGGTTTAAGCTCTTCCCCCCTTCCTCACTGGTTGACCCTACTCTGGCCCCACTGACAAGAAGAGCTTCCCAATCGTCACTGGACAGTTTCTCTCGATCATAGCAGCGTGCGGAATGATAGCGTTGTTGTAGCAGCCAGTGTTGCGATTACAGGTCACGCCCCCGGTTACACTGCATGCTTGATGTTGTGTCTTCTGAGCCTGTTTCCAGGGGTGCAAAAAACGTGATCCTGTGTTTTGAGCAAAAACGTTGCGCACATTGTGCACGAGGCGAAGCGCGTCGCAAGCGCCTGGCGGCCGGGATGCCGGGTGTTGTTGTTGTTGTTTGGAGGAAGCTGGAATGAACTCCTTAGCACGAGGAATCCGTCAGTTCCAGGTTTTCATCCAATTCGAAGCCATGGGGGTCAGCACTGGGAACCGCTAAACGAGTTCTACAGAAGCCCTTTTCGAATGAAAATAAATGTTTTCCTTTCTTTTTTTTGGTTTCCTTTTTTTATTAGTTTTTTTATGTCAATGTACTTGTATCTGAAGGGGGTGACAGTGTTTCTAACCAGATGCTTGGTCACGCCACGCCAACGGACCTAGCTGTGTAGATGGAGTTTTGGAGACCATCACTTTGGGTGAGGTGTGTCCCAGCTTGTGTCCACACTCCCCCAAAACCCCAAAAGAAATACCCTGGTTACTCTAGGTTTACGTACTGAATCAACCCGTACTGGTAAATTAATCAGAGGCAATATTGAAGTGGCTACCATCAACACTCCAGAACAAACAGAAACCCCATGAAAAGATGTACAATCTACCATCATTCTTTCTCTGTTGATATATTGTATGAAAATAAATGAGAAAAATATATTTTTTTCCCTTTTTAGTTAATTTGCATGGACACAAATTTAGCTGAATTAAAAAAATGAAAAATACAATTATTTTCTTGAGGCTGCAACTTGCAAAAAAGAAGAAGAAAAATAAAACAGATCAGCCATTTTCAACAATTTATATTATTTTTAAGGTAATTGTCACTAGTGCATGGTTTTCAAGGGGAGTGAATGCAACATCGTGATTAAAAAAAAGAGGCATTGTTTATCATTCTTTAGACCATTCATGAGTCTGTGTTTAGCAGACATGCAGATAAGGGAAACTTAAAGGAAACTTTTGGAGCTATTTAACAGAAAATGTTTATGTGACAAAAAGTGATAATGAAAATAAATGTAAATTATTTATTTCATTGTAAAAGGCTCATGCCTTATAAAGATAAACATTATGTGCAAATTGTACATGTTTCTCTTTTTCTTCCTTGTCCCAGGGTACTTCTCATTGTACTACTCATTGCTACCATTGTTCAGTCCCCTGACATTGTCCAGATTTGAGGACTGTTTCAGTATGTATTTTATTTTGGATTTGATTTGTTTAACAAGCATGTTGAAAAGGATTTTCTGCAACATGGCTTGGGCACACCTTACAGTAACTCAGCATGTTTTGATAAAGATGATATTTGGAATTTTTGCAGTTTCTTGTACAGTGCATGTCAACTTCATTACTTTTCTCCCTCACCTTTAAATTGAACTCTACAGCAAATTAGTTATTGGTCTTCTGCGGCCATTTATTGAAGTTTTAACAAAAGACATTCCACCCCCAAGGTCATGTTTTCTTTCAGGTTTTTGAGAAAAAATAAGTGACAAGGAAAATATTTTATATTTAATGGAGGTTGACGAAACAGTTGTGATTGCAAGTGTATTTTATTTCAGTATTGTTGACGAACATGCAAAAATAATCTGTATTGGTACAGCGAGAGGTCTATACCTAATCAAGAGGCAGCAAACATGCGAGAGATGTGTGTGTCGCTGTGGTTCAAGTCCACAGGCACTGTTTGTGAAGATGAGCTAATCACAAGTTCAAATAACAAGGGATATTGCCACAGAAAATGTTTTTTCTTGTTTTAATGAAAATGAAATTAATTTACTATATTTTTGTTAGTTTTATTTAAAAGCCAAGACCAGTTTATTTTTTATTTTCTATTTTTAGTAATTATAAATACTTCTCATGTCTGGGAAGTATATGAATCTTATAGTTGCAGTATGTCTGGATGAAATTGAACTGAGGCATTATTCCTTTTCCACATGACGATAATGCGTTTTAATGTCCAAGAAAACCTTGTGGCTTGAACAAGCTACAGTATATATTTTCATTTTGATTTTGATTGTACATACCTTTAGATGTCAGAATTTGAATAAACAAGCTACCATGAATAGATGATAGACTCTTTTGGAACAGGAAGAATGCCTCACGTGATGACAAAGACATATGTTATTTATCCTTTTGAATGCTTTTTCATTTTCTCTTTTTGGTGCAATGTGTTAATGCCAAGGCTATGTCTTGGTTAAGTATGGTTGAGTACAGAGATTTATGTAAGTTATTTTTCAAATAAAAAATTAAAAAATTGATATTACACTGATGCAAAGAGTTGGGTGATGATACGATTAACACACACGCATGTACAATCACGATAGATACTGAATGTTATTCTCTAGTAACATATTACTCAAGCTCCCAAAACCCTGAATCCTACAATTCCCATAATGCATCCTTTAGGATCCACCAGGTGGATTTCAAAATCAACTCCATAGCCCCCTTTATCAAGCAGGGCTTATGTTATACATTTGGAGACCCTGATGAAATATGAAGATTATATTCTCTGACAACACAACCGACCGTATGGTTGAAAGCACCAATATCAGATAAAAATTATTTTAATGTAACGTTTGAAAGAAATGGATATAGGATCTTTTTCTGTAACATTATATAATGCCTTTATAAAAAGGCAAACTGGGTTAAGGGTTACCTGACATTTTCAGGACTTATTTACCATACTATTTTCTAATAGAAAGTGAGTTACCTGGTTTACAAGTTAGACTAGCTGAACTCCAAAAAATATGAGCCCGTAATGCTGCTAAACTACTTAGTTTGTCCACTGTGCTGGGCAATTCAGGCCAAGCACACAAATTGATTTTAAAAAATGTGCCCTTTATCAATTAGGCTTGACAAATGACTATTTAGTTGCTTCTAAAAATGATGTTTGTAAGGTTTCACCTAATACTTAGGGGTATTTATGTGTCGGCCCAGAAAAAAGTTATACGTTGTATCTGACTTTTTAGGATCATCTGATTTTGTGATTAATCCTAAATAAGATTATGTTTCCAAAAATGTTTTATAAAATTGTATCAGTTCAGTTCAGTAAAATAATGTTTACAACTACTATATGACAAAAATGGTCAACATATCAAGGCCAAGAGTCTACAGCCATGCTACAGGCTTTTCAGAATGTTCACAAGCACCTTTTCAGGGCTGAGCTGACGTCATAACCCGGCAACATCTAGTTATTATATATTCCGTTAAAAGTTCTCAATTCCTTGAAAGCAGCTATCTTTTAACCTTGATCAATATAGTAACACTATAATATATATTATATATACTATAGTAACTTTAGTGATGACAATATTACCTCATCTTACAAATCGTAACCCTAACGACTCCTTATTGCGACTTCCTCCCCTTTCCAAAATGTTCTGTAGAGCTTTTATTAGACTTACTGTAATTGGAATTTCCATAAAGTAATCGGAAAGTGTTCAAACATTAGTGTCATACAGCTTTGCAATCCTACACAAAATAAAATAAGTTTCACACGCTCACACACAATGTGGTCTTGTATGAGGTCTCTGTTTGCTTCTGCTTTTGGTTAAAAAATAGGAATGACTGGATAATGACAAATGACTTCATGAGGGTAGAGGAGGCCGAAGACTTCCTGTTTTAGCCATATTTAAGGAGACTGCAGGACACATGCACGAGAATAGATGTCTTGCTCTACACAACAGGTTTGCACTTTGAGATTTTAATACATTTTTGCATTCAATCTTAGCTCAGGATGCTAATCTCATGGAAACAGACCCTCAAGGAGAGCGGTTATCTGGCTGTGGATGTTTTCACAACCGGTGAAAGGGATGGCTTGCAAAGAACGCTCCTCCTGCTCTTCACCTGTAGCGTCTCCAGCCTCCTGCTCAGCTTGCTGCTCTTCCTATACCTCCTCCTCACGCTGAACTATGATCTAGCTGTGTCTGGAGGGATCTCTTGCTGCTTCGGGACCCTCCTGACAGTTGCCCTCTTCCTATCAAAGAGGATACGTTGCTTAGGGACTCTATTTGTGATCTCTATTTTCATGAAGAAGAGCCGGAACCTTCTCCTCACCGCCGGCACCAGTTTAGTGCTGCTAAGAAACATTCGCAACACCTTGGAGAACACCACAGGTCTGGTCCGGAGTATGATCTGCAACCTGCAGGCCAAGAAAGCAGCCGTCATTGCTCCGTTTAGCAAATATGTGAAGATGCTAAAGTGGCTAGGAAACATGCTAAAGGGGGTTACAGACTTAGGGGTGTTAAACCTTGACCCCCAACTCAAGGTTTCCCCCAGACTGGAATCAGAAATGTTCCAGGTGACGCTCGGTGAGGCCGAGCAGAAGCTGAACGCCACAGTGAAATATGTGAAGTCCATTATGAACACAGTCTCCTCTGTGAGCGAGAAGATGTTCCCCGCCCTCAGTTTCCTCGTGCTCATGATGTTTTTAGCCCTGCACATAAAAAGATACCGCAGTGACATGAAATACCAAAACAGGTTCGTGAGCCGGAGGTTTGTCGCTTTTGACGAGAAGCAGAGGGCGGAGGGGAAGCCCCATGTCCTCCCCCTTACCCCTGAGGAAGAGGAGCTGTACACCCCCCTCCCCTCGGCCCGTCCCACCACCAGAGAGGGGAAAGCCGTGCTGAAGTTTGGAGTTCCGGTCGCCTCCCATCTTGCAGCTTGGGTCATATTTATAACCGTGGATGCCTTATTGTACCTCTTTGTCGACATTGTAACAAAAAAACTATCCGAACTTGAGCCGTTCCATATCCCGCTGATAGTGAGCATCAAAGTGAGTATTTTTGTTAAAGGGGCCTACTTTTGCTCCTTTTCAGGTTCATATCAGTATTTAGTGTGGGACATTTCTCCATGCTTTAATGTTCAAAAAGCTCTTTATTGTTCTCATACTGCCTGTGCTGCAGCACCTCTTTTCAGCCTCTGTCTGAAACCAGAGCTCAGTCTGCTCTGATTGGTTAGCTGGCTGGCTCTGTTGTGATTGGTCAACAGCTTAGAGATGTCCCAGCCCTTAGCCTATCACATACAATATGTTGGAACGCTAGCCAATAGATGAGTGTAACACATAAGTCATTTTCTGGCTAAATTACATGTGATTGCCAAAAACTTCAGAATCTGTATTTACCGCCAAATGACAGTGAATGGTTTCCCCCAAAAGTGGGCGGGGCCGTAATTTCACCTGGAAGTGATGTGTTACTCTCATCTATAGAAGTGTGAGTTTTACATAGTGATGTCAGAAACATATATAACACACTACAGGAAAGGAAAAACCCCCAAAAGCACAATGGGGCCCATTTAAAGACCTTCTGATTTGCAGTATACAGAGTACTTATTATTCATGTGTCTTTTCAGGGGATTGCAACTTTAATAGGCATACCCATTGGCGAGGAAAATCATCAAGAAGACTTTTCCTATTCTGTGACCCTGTTTGAGAAGACGTGCCTCCCTAAACCCAAACTGCTGCTCTATAACTCTATCGTTCCTCTGGCGGCCATCTTGCTCCTCCTAATCCTCATGGCTCTGATTGCTGCCAAAGCCTCACAGATCAGGATCATGGTGTGTGAGCGATTCTTCAGCAACGCAGCGGAGATGAGGGTGGAGTACCTGCATGCCAAAATCCTGAGGAAGAGATTAAAAAAGAGAAAGGAGAAAAACAACTACACATCACTGTATCTAAAGGTATGCTTTACTGTTTTTCTTTGCGTATAGAAGCATCTCTTAAAGAGGCCAACATAATGGAGAAAAAAGTTAACAAAAAAAGATTGCCAAAAATATTTTCCCATCAGTCTAAAGAGGTTGTAATAATGAAGTTTTGGTAGGTAAAACTTTTTTTTGTCAGGATGATTTGGCTAAGTGCTTTAGCCCCAGTTTTCTTTTCAGCCTCAAGAGGATGAAGTGCACCTCTACCTCATCTTCTAAATAAGTCTAAAAGCAATCTTATTTCCTGGTTAAGACACAATATAAGTACCTTGGGTATAGAGTGCATGATAACATTAAAGCAGGAATAATGAATGCTTTTAGTATTTAGAATGTGTGGTAGTTGATACACTTTAGCCATTATAATAATGATCATAAAGAAAACACATCACACGCTAAAACACAGATTAAAACAATATGATTTATTTCCCTGATTTGTTCCCACTATTTCTTAAACAATATTCAGACCACATTTGAAAAGTAATTAAACATCTCTTAAACACATGTTTTATTCTCTTTTCAGCCACAGTTCTGGTGCCCACTGCTCTTCAGGCCCAAAGAGCATGTACAAACTATCGCGTGAGGAAGTAATAATGGACTTTCATATTCCATGAATTAGAAAGCATACAAAACATTTAAGAAACTCTCCTGATGAGGAAAACTTTGAACATCGGTCTCTGTGCCTCACAGATCCTGTTGTGGGGATCACTTTTGAATTCAACTTCTACCTCTGGCAAAACTTCCTCCTCCTCATTGCACAACTCTCATACCTCATTCACACCAACGCAACTCCGGTTCAGAGTGCCTCTCTGGAGGAAAAGACTGTCATTTATCTGCAGCAGTTAGTGTTTAGACACTACAACTGCTGCAAATTGTTGTGTCTCGTCAAATGTGTTAGTTATGTTTATTTATTATATCTGTCATTTTCATGTTTTTTCACGCCATCATCAGTGTCTGCCCCGCCCCTGATTGTTTCCACCTGCTTCCACTCACCTCATGTTTAAATAGTCCTGTCTCTCCCCTGTCCTGTGTCAGTTCGTCTTGTTTGTTTCCCCGAATGGTCGTGCCAAGCCTCAGCTCAGAAAGGATCGCTTTCACTCATGTCAGGTTTTGTTATTTTGTTAATTTTGTAGTTTTTCTTAAGTTCTCTTTTTGTTATGACTAGTTTTTTCCTCGTGAGCGCTTTTTGTTTATTCCAGTACATACTCTGTTAAGAGGGATTACCTGATCTTTGGAATTAAAATGACATTTTGTTACATTCAAGACTTTGTCTCTGGGTTGTGCATTTGGGTTCATCCGTTTGTGTCGAGGTCCTGACAGAACGAATTGACCCAAAATTAACCCAGCCGACCCAAAAGCACTCCAGACTGCATTGTCGGCCCAAGGCAGCCTAATTCACCAGCATCAAGAGCAGCTAACAGCTATTGGGGACAGGAATGATGGTGGAGTGTTTAAAACATGTGGGGACAACAGACTGCAGCAGGGACCTGTTGAAGGTGTTCACAGACATCTTCAACAGGTCCCTTCTGCAGTCTGTTGTCCCCACATGTTTTAAACACTCCACCATCGTTCCTGTCCCCAAAAAGACAAACTGGTCGGTAGTCATTGAGGCTGGTGATTTTTGTCTTTTTGGGGACAGGAACGATGGTGGAGTGTTTAAAACATGTGGGGACAACAGACTGCAGAAGGGACCTGTTGAAGATGTCTGTGAACACCTTCANAAGTCAGGTGTGATACTCAGCTCTGACTAGAAGGCCAGAGAGAAGAAGTGTGACCTCACATGTAGGGGCAGACTGCTCCAGAGCCTAGGGCCAGCTGCTGCGAAGGCTCGGTCCCCTCTGGTTTTGAGCCTTTTGAGCATTGTTAGTTCAGGCAGTCAATTGGAGCACCAATGATACATTAACACGTGACGCACCTCGTCCCTCTTACAACCAACCAAACATATTCTCCTAAACATCCCATTCTATTTAAGCTGCCAGATCTGCTGCCAC